AAAAAAAAAAAAAAAAAAAAAAAAAAGAAGTGAAGACTCACAGATAGATGCCATTAAATTTACGGAACTCAGAAAGGAAATAATTGAACTATGTGAAATTGCTGGTATTAAAAAGGTTTTGATCTGCAAAAGAAAGCATTCATATAACTCAACCGAATGGTTTTATTCCTCCTCAACAGCCTCCAACTTTCTGCTGTATTTCTTTTAGTCTCAGGTATGCTACCCAGGAGATGAAACATAGGGGACATTTGGTTGCAAATATCAAATGTAGACTAGAAAGCAGTGCTGACATATATCAAGTCATTTTAATTTATACAATTTCAAATGATAGAGAATATTTAAAGAGGTGAGACATGACAGATGCTGTCAGTGCCCTGCTCCATCTCCCTTGGGTTTTATTACTTAGCTTACTATTAATATTTACCTGGGGGAAGCCTATTACTTCTAGCCACCAGTATCTGCATTTCCGCTTGAGGACTCTGAAGTCTTGGGGAATCTCTCTGTGGGGCAGCCTGGGAGTACCTCTTAACCAGCGGCTGACAAGAGCTGATACATAACTGACCACCTCAGCCCCCTCACTCCCTGGGTAGGATAATTCTGTGTCTGAATTCTATGTTTTTTCCCAGAGTTTTCTCATGAGGTTAAGCCCCAGTTGCCCATATTGATAGCAGGCTTGATAATTCACCTCAAGTTTTCCCCTGACTTTTCTTGTTTCCTTATTAGTATTTCTGTACTTTACAAATGAACTACTTAGATTTGAAGCTTTTTCTTTTCTTTTTTTCTTTTTTTCTTTTTTTTCAGTTTTTGGTCGGGGCTTGGGCTGAAACCTGCCACCTCCAGTATATGGGGCCTGGGCCCTACTCCTTTGAGCCATAGGTGCTGCCCAAGATTTGAAACTTTTTCTCAGTGACATGAAGAGGTGGAGTAAATGTTATATAACATTAAGAGAATGAGTTCCAAAACTGTGTGTACCATATGAAGGCAATTTAGAAAGAAATTCAGAAAGCTATACTGTTTTTTTTTTGTTTGTTTATTTTATTTTATTGTACTGTTTTAAGTGTTGGCATTGAAGATAATTAAAATTTTTTCCTTTGTTTTAATTGTGGACTAATTTTTGAGAGTGAATGTGTGTTTTTTTCTGTAATCTGGATAAATAGAAAAATAAATACCATATACAATAGTAGTTTGGAATGCAGGTTGCGATCCAGGTGGAGGAATAGGGAAGGCTGCAGCATCACAGATAGCCATGGTTCTCAACCTGTAGGTCGTGACCCACTGGAACTGTATTAAAGGGCCATGGCATTAGGAAGCTTGAGAACCACTGACGTGTAGTGATTGTGTGGAGCGGTGCGGAGAAGGAGCGAAGGCAGGAGGGTAAGAGCAAAGTCTGAAACCCAGTATCTGTTGAGTGACACGTATTTTAAGTTACTGTTCTTATTTTTTTATGTTTGTAGCAAATTATAAACCTGGAAAGACTACCAGACACTTAAAAAAAAAGAAACTTAAAAGTATGGTATTGAAGCCATTTTATGTTTCCTTTTTTACTGTCATACTTTTTGCAAACCTGTAATTGAATATAATCACAATCCTACATTGACCAAGGGAAATATTTAGACAGTTTATTTATATGCCATATTTTTTTGTCTTATATTGATAGTAAATTCACCTGAAGTGATGTGTTTTTCTCAGCCATACTGGCAGAAAGTTGTTGAGAAATTTGCAAAGAGAAAGGTTGAATTTCAAATAACTGATCAGAGAACCAGAAAACTATAAGTATTTTGAATATGAACAAAAATTATAAAAATCGTCCTAACCCAATTGCTTATTAGCTTTCTGATGTTTGTGCGTCTTTTATCTAGTTGCAGTCATTAGTGTTTGTCATTTTTAGATTTTGTTTTTTTCACTTGGTATCTTCATCTTGCAGTGTTACATGTAGGTTAATGTTGTTTTTTCAAGCTTTATAATAGTACAGTATTTAATTGGGCTGATGTGTCCTAATTTGTTTGACCTGTTTCCCTAATGTTGAGTGTTAATCGATTGTTACCAGTGCTATTGCAGTGATCTGCATCGTGTTACTTTTTGTTTCATTAGCATCAATTACTAGTACCATTATTTGGTCTTTATGGCTTATAACTGTTATTGGTAGTTCCTCTACTGTACGTCCTAAAAGGCTTACTAATTTACAGTTGGTTGGTTGAGTAATTCATTTATTTACTAAATATTGAGTTCCTGCCATGTGTCAGTTACTGTTCTAGGTGGTGAAGAACTCTAGCCTGGTTTATGAATTTACATTGAAGTAGTTTCATTTTTCTTCTTTTTATTTTTTGAGACAGAGTCTCACTCACCCTGGGTGAAGTGCTGTGGCATCATATCTCACAGCAACCTCAAACTCTTGGGCTCACACCTTCCTCTTTGCCTCCTCCTCCTGAGTAGCTGGAACAGGCCCCTGCCACAGCACCCAACAATTTTCCCCCTTCTTCTTTCCTCCTCTACTTCTGTTTTTAGTAGAGATGGGGTCTATGGATCTCACTCTTGCTCAGGCTGTTCTCAAACTCCTGAGCTCAAGCTATCCTGCCTTAGCCTCCCAGAGTGCTAGGATTATAGACAGGGGCCACTGCACCCAGGCAGTGTGCTTTCTTCTTAAAGCTAGTGTGTGCTTTGATTAGTATAGTTGTAGTTTAAATGATTGTGGAATTTGGTAATATTTTAGCTCTTGGATTTCATAAAACAAAAAAGCAATTTTGTTCTAATAAATTCAGTCTTGTCTGCATTAAAAGTTGCTATCATGTACAGTATTTCTTTTTTCTTTTATTTTTCTTTTTTCTTTTTTGTGAGACAGAGTCTCACTATGTTGCCCTCAGTAGAGTGCCGTGGCGTCACAGCTCACCACAACCTCAAACTCTTGGGCTTAAGAGATTCTCTTGCTTCAGCCTCCCAAGTAGCTAGGATTACAGGCGCCCGCCACAATGCCCAGCTATGTGTACAGTATTTCATTTTAATAATTAGTTAAGGACTTCAGAAGGAATTATTTACTCAAAATGTGTAAATAGAGTCAGAATGTTAAACTCAATAATTTAATAAACCAAGAGTCACTTAGTATACAGGATAGCTCTTCTTGGCTAGGGAAAATAGATTAACGGTTATAGACTAAATGGGATCCTGATTACTACATCATGTTTTAGAGTAGTAAGCCAGTAGAATTGTACTATGATTAGCAATACAAGGCATGCTTTGTCTATCTTATTAAACACTCTTTCTTATTAGATGCTTAGCAGAAAAGCCTAGTAGGGATACTTAAAATAGTCCTCTCTCTATAAAGAAACTGCTTCTTTGTCAGTAGGACACAGAGAGGGATGGAGGGAGAATATTAATACAGTAGAATCTCTTGTCAGTTGACCCCCCCGCCAAGGGACTTTAACCCACTGGTCAACATACAGAGGTGGTCAGCTAGGCCTCCTGTACTGATATGTACATGTGGTACATGTCTGGCTATAAAAATTAGGTCAACTTAAGGAAGCGGTCAATGTAGGGAGATGATTAACTATAGACCAGGTTCAACTGTACTTTAAAGAAAGGTTATTTCACTTTTCTAGAACTAGAATATAAATGTTTTGACACAATGACTAAGCAGATGACATGAAATCTATGTTAACCAGCTTGATGAAAGTATTTCAAATTGTATATGAAAACACTACACTGTACCCCATATTTGCATTAATGTATACAGCTATCATTTAATAAAAAAAAAGGTTATCTCATATATCAATTTTTAAAAATGAACACTTTTTCTCATTTTACCTGTGAAATACATGTTATATAGATTAGATTATGATATGAGAATTATTAGGTCTTCCTCTATTAGGAATAAAGTATGAAACATTAATTTAAATTTTAAACAGTTGGGATAATACAGTATTCTCCTTGAATGTGGTGATAGAGTTTGACCTGAACTTCTAGGTCTCATCATTGAGATGAAACAAGGGAATAATTTCTATGTGAGTATTTATTTAGTTGATGGTTTATAAAATTAGAAATCAAAACATATCACTTTATAATGTCTGTTTTTATCTTGTTTTTTAAAGGTCCTGGGATCCTGGCTGCTACAAATAGGACTGAATTGGGAGTTACGGAACCATCTTCTCCAACCCCTAGCCCTGTGAAAAAAGGCAATTCAATTAATTGGTCTTTGCCAGATAAAATAAAATCTCCACGAACTGTGAGGAAACTTTCCATGAAAATGAAAAAGTTGCCAGAATTTAGCCGAAAGCTGAGTGCTAAGGGAACCCTGAATTATATAAACAGTCCAGATAATACTCTGTCCTTATCTAAATGTAACTGTCCAGAAATTCATCACACTGTTATTCTCCCTTCTGGGAACACAGCCACAGCTGCTAAGAGGAATGTTATAAGCCGGTACCATCTTGACACCAGTGTATCTTCTCAGCACAGCTACCAGAAGAAAACCTCTGTGAGTTCGAAGTATTCCTGTAAAGGTGGTTACCTCAGTGATGGAGACTCACCGGAACTTATAACTAAATCTAGCAAACATGGATCCGAAAACAAATTTGGAAAAGGAAAAGAAATAATTTCTAATAGTTGTAGCAAGAATGAAATAGACATCGATGCTTTTAGACATTACAGCTTTTCTGATCAACCCAAGTGTTCACAGTACATATCTGGGCTCATGAGTGTGCATTTCTATGGTGCTGAGGATTTGAAACCACCCCGGATAGATTCAAAAGATGTCTTCTGTGCAATTCAGGTAGATTCAGTAAACAAAGCAAGAACAGCTTTGCTCACATGTCGGACAACATTCTTAGACATGGATCACACTTTCAACATAGAAATTGAAAATGCACAACATTTGAAACTAGTAGTATTCAGTTGGGAACCCACACCGAGAAAAAATAGAGTTTGTTGTCATGGAACTGTTGTTCTTCCCACCTTATTCAGAGTAACAAAGACGCATCAATTGGCTGTCAAACTTGAGCCCAGAGGTCTTATTTATGTGAAAGTGACTCTTATGGAGCAGTGGGAGAATTCTCTTAATGGGCTAGATATAAACTGTGAACCAGTAATGTTTGGAGTTGATATTCGAAAAGTTGTAGAGAAAGAAAATGTAGGATTGACGGTGCCACTCCTGATACAGAAATGTATTACGGAAATTGAAAAGAGAGGCTGTCAGGTATTATTTCACTATGTTTCTCTACTACCTCCTCTGTTGGCTGATTAATTAACTGGTTGATTGTTAAGTCTTGGGGAAAGGAATTCAAAGCAAGATAAAAAAAATCTAATTTAGATATTTTTCCCATTCCTGTTCTTTATTTTTGTTCTATTAATGTTTAAGACGTAATTCATAACTATGTTGTGAATGATTGAGAGCATGCTAGATGATTCCACAATATAAGTTGTGGCACAGCACTGCCTGGGCCTCATAATGAGAGGTCAGGTTTACTTTCTAATTCACTTGCCAATAACAGGTGAAGGCTGATTCCTTTAAGAAATGCTCCTTCATGGTTTGACAGTCCTCTGAGAAGGAGTTCTAACAGTGATTCCTGCTTCTCTCCTAAAATCAACTCCCTGCCCTTATTCCCTACACTGTCGCAGTCCCATTCTTGAGAAACTACTCTTTACTCTGGAATGGCCTGGAGGATGAGGAGAGGACCTACTAATAACACATTCCATGGCGTGGCGCCCATAGCACAGTGGTTATGGTGCCGGCCACGTACACTCAGGCTGGCGGGTTCGAACCCGGCCTAGGCCAGCTAAACAGTGCCATCTGCAACAAAAAATAGCAGGTCATTGTAGCAGGCACCTGTAATCCCAGTTACCTGGAGGCTGAGGCAAGAGAATCGCTTAAGCCCAAGAGTTTGAGGTTGCTGTGAGCTGTGACACCATGGTACTCTACCAAGGGTGACAAAGTGAGACTCTGCCTCAGAAAAAAAAGATCATCTCATTTTCTTTTAAGTAGGAAGGCAAGGGGATGTATTAAAACAAAAAAGTCTGATGTTGTAACAAGATATGTACATGTTAGCTAGTTATAATAGACCTTATCTTTCTTTATTTTTTATTCTCATGACAATGAGAAACAGCATATCACTGAGGATATTATCCGTGGGTATAAGTAATAGTTTACTCTAGTTTTTGTGATACATGTTAAAACGTATGTATGTTGTGAACACATTATGTTCTAAGTTATTTCTACTTTAGTGCCAACAGTTTTACAATGTTGGTTAAAAATGTAAAAGATAATGAGGGTAATTATCACAATCTGAAATAGAATTTCCTTAATAAACTCACTTTGAACTTAACATGGTAACTATAGAAGCAGTTCAAGTTAGTGAGGTTTTACAATAAGATGCAGATGACCTGGATTCTGATTTCTCCTCTGTTATTACTTAGCTGTGTGACATTGGGCAAGTCTCTTAATCTTTGTGGGTCTTATTTGTGGGTCTTATAGAAGTAGATATAGTAGTTTCCTGAGGCTGAACTTTTCAAACGACTTCTAACTCAGGTACATGATTCTATGTCAACTTTGTGTTGTCTGTGTGGGAATGAAGCCTTTACTTCCCAATCTAACTTCTGGTCCATTATTTTTCTTCCTTAAGATTCTCTGTTTTTCCCTTCATTTTTTTTTTTCAGGCATTATGTAGAGACTTAAGAGATTAGGCAGACTTTAAATTTTTTGTTGTTGTTGTCGCAGTTTGGCTGGGGTCAGGTTTGAACCCACCACCCTTGGCATATGGAGCTGGCGCCCTACCCACTAAGCCATAGGTGCTGCCCAGATTAGGCAAACTTTAAAACTAATTATTAAAGTGCTTGCTTTGGCAGCACATATACTAAAATTGGAATGATAGAGAGAAAATTAGCTTGGCCCCTGTGCAAGGATGACATGCAAATTAATGAAGTGTTCCAAATTAAAAAAGAAATCTGAAACTAATTATTAAGCAGAAACTTTTATAGTTGAATATTAAAATTAGTAACTCAAATGACACTGTACTTTTACAGTCTGTTTTCTGAAATACTTATAAGAAGCAGGCTTATAAAGATTGTTAACACTTACTGTAAATGCCGAGAACATTTTTAGCAGTGCTTTTTATATCTGTACTTTAGAAAGATTATATTTTAATAATGATTTCCTATGAACTAAAAAGTAAGTTTTACTGTTGTGCCTTTGGAACTGTACTTTTTTTTTTTTTTTTTGAGACGGAGCCTCAAGCTATCCTCCTGGGTAGAGTGCCATGGCATCACGCTCACAGCAACCTCCAACTCCTGGGCTCAAGCGAGTCTCCTGTCTCAGCCTCCCAAGTAGCTGGGACTACAGGTGCCCGCCACAACGCCTGGCCATTTTTTGGTTGCAGCCATCATTGTTGTTTGGCAGGCCCGGCTGGGGATTCGAACCTGCCACCTTAGGTGTACGTGGCCGGCGCCTTAACCACTTGAGCCACAGGCGCCGAGCCGAACTGTACTTTTTAAAGACCTTTTTTGTTTTGTCTCTCTTGCTTCTTCCTTTCCCCGCCTACACACCTACACACACACACACACACACACACACACACAGAGAAAGAGGCTTATTGTGCCTGCATTTTACAGGCTGGCATCGTACTTAAATTATGAATACCATCTGAGCACAGTGGTAATCCCAGGACTCTGGAAGCCTGAGGTGGGAGGATTATTTGTGGCCAGCCTGGGCAATAGAGCAAGAACCCCATCTCCGCAAAAACTAGTAAAATTAGCCAGGCATGGTGGCATGCGTCTGTGGTCCTAGCTACTCTGGAGGCTGAGGCAAGAGGATTGCTTGACCCCAGGAGTTTGAGGTTGCAGTGAGCTATGATGGTGCCACTGCAGTCCAACCTAAGTGACAGAGTTGACACCCTGTCTCAAAAAAAAAAAAAAAAAAGAAAAGAAAATTTGAACATCTTTTTATTCAGTAATTATTCTTGTTTGTTCACTATGAAAATTAGTTTTGATAGTCATACAAAAATAGTTTGGAGCATGAGTCTTTGTGTCTTCCAGATGCTTTGAGCCACTACTACCTATCTCTTGCTTCCAATGGAAAAGTTACTTCAGTAATCACACTCATGGTCCACCCAGGACAGCTTCTGAGAGAAGCATCGAATATAGACTTCAAGGGTTTGATTCTGAAGTTAGGGATAGGCCCTAAAATATCCTCTCCTTGTAATATCTATGTTGATTTTCCTTTCTTTATTCATCATTCATGTTTTTAAAAGTTAGTTTTGTAATTTCAGCTTCGGGATAAACTGTTCCTTTGATTTATTGCCTACTAAGTAATACTTCCTTTAACTTGTTCTTGGTACCTCTCCTCAAGTTCAAGGAATACATCCTTATTATGGGATTTTATGACACTTTAAGAGGACTATAGCCCTTTTGGTGTAGGCACATTGGTTTCTTTTATTGTGGTAGCATTTCCTTTGATCCCATTTAATATTTTAGTTTCATTCTCTGGGCCATCTGCGTTTTTATTGTGTTTTTCTTGAGATGATGTGACCAGCGTAACATACATTCTCAACTGTGAATGTACATAAATGTGGGTAAGAGTAGGAGATTTTAATTTTCATTTTAGTATATTCCTCTGCTTTCCATAATTATGGTGATACTTTTGAGTGTAGCAGCACCTTGCATTACTATCTTTTGAATTAATTTTAGGGCCTTTTTTATTTTTTTTTTTTTTTTTTTTTAGTTGAATGGTAACTATGTACATTAATGCATTTCTGGGATACAGTGTGGTGTTTTCACAAACAATTTGAAACATTTCATCAAACTGGTTAACATAGCTTTCATGTCATTTACCTAGTTATTGTGCTAAACTGTTCATATTCTACTCTTAGAAAGTTTCACTCGTACCCTTGTAAGACAAACCACAGAAGTGATCCCTCCAATCCCCCTCCCTCCACTATTTTTCAATTATTACTTAGATATTTCAGATATTTTAGATAACATCTCCCTGTATCCTTTATTGACAGTTGCCCATATTGAGACCAACTTTCTATAGTGTATTCTATCCGTTATTTAATGAACCAGAAGAAATTAGTGTCAGAAGTAAACCCGTGTGTGTAAATTCCATGTGTGTGTTCCTTTTAGATCATTTATATTATAACATTTTACAGTGTTAAATTTTATAGCGATTCCTACTTCAAATCCTTGAGGATTGTTTGTATTTTATTTCTGTCTTTATTTATTTATTTATTTTGAGACAGACTCTCACTTTGTCATCCTCGGTAGAGTGCGGTGGCGTCACAGCTCACAGCAACCTCAAATTCTTGGCCTTAAGTGATCCTCTTGCTTCAGCCTCCCAAGTAGCTGGGACTACAGGTGCCTGCCACAACTACAGGCACCGGCTATTTTTAGAGACAGGGTCTCACTCTGACTCAGGCTGGTTTCCAATTCCTGACGTCAGGCAATCCACCCACCTCAGCCTCCCAGAGTGCTAGGATTACAGGCGTGAGCCACCGTGCCTGGCCTATTTCTGTCATAAAATAATTTCTTTTTCCATAACTTTTCCTTCAATTCAAGGTGACTAAGCTTCCTAAATATTTTAGAATGTATATGGACTAATAGTGTTTAAAAACCAAATCTTTTCAATGCAGGTTGATGGGATGATAGTGTCTGTTATCTTATATATCAGTAAATTTTAAGCTAAAGGTTTTATTTTATCATTAATATATTATTTTAAATTTCCTCCATCCCTTTATAATGAGTTACTTTGAGAAGTTAAAAAGAAAAAAAACCCTGGGCGGCACCTGTGGCTCAAAGGAGTATGGCTCTGGCCCTGTATGTCAGAGGTGGTGGGTTCAAACCCAGCCCGGGCTAAAAACTGAGAAAAAAACCCCAAAATAAACAAACCCACATTTGCTTTTATGTGTTCTTAAGAATCTTTTCTTGTTCTTTTTTTTTTTTTCCTCAAAAAGCTATACCAAAATGGTATACTGGAACCTTATTTCAATTATATACTAATTTTAAAGA